AATTCCCCACCGGTATAGGTCAACATATGGCTATTACTATTATTATAATTATTATTATTATAATTATTAACCTCATCCCATACATTGAGATGTGCCGTGCAATCATTATCGGCACACCAAGAGCCGTAACCGTTGCGAGTAATATAATAGATTGGCTGTCGTAGAATTTCTATCTCTTACGCGGACACACCTTGCGCTGAAGCTAATACAATCCATGGCGTCTCTCACCTGGCGCAGATATTCTCTCCCAAGTGTGGCATAAACTGCACAGAGAGGAAAATTGCTGAGTTTAAATGCAATATGTAGTTGTATTACATCTACCATTGAGGAAGAGACACCCATTACCAGCGGAGAAGGAATAAACAAGGAAGCGCAGTAATGATTGCAAGGGAAATTCCTGTTTTCTTTTTCGTGACGAGGCCTTGCATGCTGTTCATGAGGCATCTTTACGCCAATGTATTGACACAACGACAAACCCAGCATCGACAGATAGGACACGCTTGTGGTCCAATGAAATAAAACAAGTCAGCGTTAGACAATAATTCTTTACCTGAGAGATCTGAAGCCCAATATGTGGAGCTGATTGTAACAGTCAAAAGCGGACCAACACTCAAGCCACTAAAGAAATTAGTGAACACCATTCCAAAAAGGGAAAACGGTAGCTGCCGTACAGAATATCTTGAAAGAATCTTTCCACAGCATAGTCAGCATCAAAGTGCGACCAAAAACGATTAATACTGAAAGAAAGGAAAGTATCACTACCATGGAAAAATATTCCACATTTCTTTTTACCCATAGCTTAGTACAACACGATACAGTTTTCTCTCTGAATTAAAAAGAAAACCAACGTTTACAGCAGTCGTTTTCAGCCGAGAAAATTGAAAATAGTCATCGCTACCTAGAAATACAATTTTACCCCTTTTGAGTGATCATGAAACCATTCGAAAGATGGCGCTTATGATCGCACTTCCCTTGAAATATACATCTTAAAGTGCCGTTGCTTAGCGTTTAAGGAAAGAATGTATACGAAATAATGAAAATTTGGCACAAGTTTCAAAACTCGTTTCGTCTGTCGTCTATTTCAATGATGAGAAAATCCATTTGGAGTCAATTCAAATATCGTTCCTAAAGTGAAAAAAAAGTATAACTGTTGCGCTTTCTACCGGTGAACTATGTTTTATTTGTATATTTTTTTTATTTGTTTTCAGTCCTTACTTAAGTCCTGTCTGGAAATCGAAGACTTTACCAGACAAAGTGGTGATCACAATCTACAGCCAAAACGGTCACTACACATCACCCTGAAAATCTTTGATTTTATAGAACATCAACTGCTGCAGATGAAAAACTCTCAAAGAATCCTACATACTTAAAATGCAGAAAACCATCAGCGACTATTTTGCTTCTGTCACTTAATTTTCTAGACTGTGAAAAGAGCTGATAGCTTGGTGTTTTCGAATGCAATTAATCCTGACGCTCAAACCGTTTTCATAATACATTTCAGGTGATTCCTCAGTAATACACTGCGCATCCTGTGCTGTGCATAAAAATCACGTAATCAGGTGAATAAGCGCGTGCGCATCCCAAGAATGAATGGAGGAGGTAAATAGATACGAAGGCCTTTTGCTCTTGAACGAGGGCGGTTACCCATATTACTTATTGCATAATTTTGATGTACAAAGTATCCTCTCCAATTTGGAGAAATTTTAAATAAATTATCAAAGGTAAAAAGAGGTATAGCTGAAAGCGTGAACAAAGCCTGTTACTCGTGGATGTAGGTTATGACTTTGAAAGCAACGACTAGAGGGACATTTTGTTCCATACGCTGGAGACGTTCTATCGAGTTTTTTTATATGCATTGCTTTAAAATCCATTGCTTCCGGCTCCTGTAAAACGTACCATGAATCGATGAGATGACACGCGGGATTAATGCCAGTACAGGCATAAATCGGGTAAGTTTGGCCAATCATATTTTTTAAACAAGCACAGTAACCTATCTTTTTTATTGTAAGTTTCGAAACAGAAACTGGTAGGGAACGTTTAAGGAAAGCTAAAAAAAATCTTCAGTAACTTTATTTTTCTTGTGAGGAATTACTTTAAGGAAGTGCTTGACTCTCAGATGCATTTGTGCGTCTTGAAGAATTTCTGGAGAGGGTATCATTCTCGGGTGGAATCTACTCACCATATACATGTGCAGTGTGTAATTTGATTTCTTAACCATGTTCTTGATTGGTTATCATAGTTATTGTCGACCTGGATTTTGTGTGATTCTTTTTGGCCTTTTAATTATTTGAGAAAAATGGCAAATCAGTATTGAGTAATGTGTTGTACCGTGTTGATGTACTAATTCTTGCCGTTGAACGGAACCCTGGTACCTGTGTACACTTCGATGAAAACGTCAGCGTATTTCGACATATTATCCTCTGAAATTAACGTTTTTTCATATTTTGGTCTACCCGGGAGAAAAGCAATGTAATGTAATGAGCATATTGATATATTGGCGAGCCAGGATTGTTCATCGCCTTAGAAAGAAACTGAAATGATAGTGTGAACCTCTGGACTATTTGGTGCATTAACATACTCGTTTGCTGCATTTAATGAGCAGAAGTCTCGTTGGACTGCAACTGCCTCGACCATATCTTTCTTGAATTGAAGTCATCTTTGGATTCACTTATTAACTTTTTGATCTCTCTGTGATGGGCTCAGTTTTCGCTGGGATTATTTCTTTTTATTGTAAATTAATTTTGGCACAGGGTCGGGTGTGACCTTTTTTTTCCCCTTGCACCTCTTTTTACATCGCTGCTACTGCTAATAGGCATGTCACCCACAGAGAAGCTTTCATCGCTATTGGATTGACTAACGCTTGAATTTTTATGATCCCTAATATCAGCATCATCACTTACAACTTATGAGTAACAGTGCCTGGTACAGTCTCGTTACCTTCATTCACATGATTAAAACGATCAGTACTTACGTCACAGAAGATGGGCTCTGTAGATGGACCACTCCCCATGGGGCTTTTCAGGGCCAACACCCACGCATCCCACCCCAGGGGGGACATCCATCACACAGTAATCTCGTGCGTGGGAAATTAACGTCTCCTACCCCCAGCCCTGCAGGAGACGGGGCCTACGGTTTATTCGTCCTTATCCGAGAAGACTAGATTATCTATCTATTTCTTGTTATAGAAAGGTAGCAAGTTCTCCTCAGTTATTTTTAAGACCATGAGTATTGGTCTGGCCGGTGCTTGAACCCTCGATCTCTCACACAACACAATCCGGCGCTCTAACCAATTGAGCTATATTCTGCGCGCTATATTCGCGCTATATTGAACTATATTCTGATCCAAAAATTCTAGGACGATTCTTCCACTCCCGCTTCTTTGCATGCGCAAAATTTTGTTGTATTTCTCTTAACTTTTCTTGAACACGAGCGTAACCTTTATGTATCAGTAGCTTGTTAATCTTTTGTCTCTGCTGGATTTCAGCGATCTTCTCTTGGTCGGTCTGGTCTGATGGCGCTGGTAATGATGTGATGACAGGAAGCTCAAAGAAAGTTGGTTCGTCTTTATATATCAAAGCTATGGCTTCCCGAACAACTTCGTACTGTATTACCTTGTCTGCATTAAAGTCACTATTGTTGTAGTCCATTTTAGCTTTGAATTTAACTAAGCATCGAATAAGATTTTCAATTTTACGGTCTTCATTCCACTGAGATCTTTTTTCCTTCGCAGCCATATAGTTTCCTAGAAAACAACCGCACTGCGCATACCGTCGCTAACCTTTTAGCACGGGCTGACATTTCATTTTCCCGTGCTGAAAACAGCTCCTGGGCTCGGATTTTGAGCTTAAATTCATCCCAGGCTGAAACCTTCTCCATGTAATAGAGAGGTCTAAGAAAATGTATGGGACTTTTTGAGCGCTCCAGGCAGCTTTCCTGTAAGGCGTCATAATCTTGTTGCTCCTGACATCGATGTGACAGATAATTACTTTTACAGTGTTTTATTTGCCGGCTTATACTTGTCATCAAGTTTCAATAAGACGGCTTCACGAGAACAATGAAGTTTTTGTAAATTATGAGATCGGATGCAAGAGCACGTGTTCAACTAATTTGCTCTTCTTGCTTGGGAAGACATTAATAAAATGTCGGCGGACCTTGAGGCCTCCACTAAGCTGGAAGTACCAAATAAACGGGAGGTAAAATCGCGAAAAAGTACTCCCCGGGAGAAACGAAAACAAAATAGAGAATGGAGAAAGCGAAAGCGACAGCAAAAGAAAGCGGGTAATCTGGCTCTGCTCGCTAATACTGAAGTTCTGCCTGGTCACGATCGGCGACCGTTTAACATATTGCAGAGGAGTAATTCCACAAACTTCTGTTGTGAGCACATACCAGTAACTATGCTCCCATAATGCATCACTGACGACTCGAGAGAAGGTCGAAAAACCTTTCCTCAGCGCCATTTTTGGGGAAAATAACTAAGAAAACTACATGCACTACAAAGCAATCTGGGAATAAGAATCCGAACATTGTCCAGATGCAAGCGAAAGGGGCGTTAATGATATAAACCATGCAAATGCTGAAAAAAAAAAAAAAAAACCACATGTTTAATGGGATTAAATTTCCCAGGGAGTTTGATATGTACTTCCACTGCAGACGATTTGCGTTCCCTCATTTTCAAAATCTTGCTCACTGAAAAACGTCACTGAACGTTTGAAAGACGAACAGAAAGAAAAGAGACACGAGTAAACGGATAAGATGTGCAAACAAACAAAATCTTCCAGTGTCTTTCACTCCTTAACTGTTTTTAAGGGTCTAAAGGTAAAGTTTGTCGTTACCTTCGTTTTAAACCCAGAAAAGGAACCAAAGCTGTAAGTTTTGGAGGAGGTAATTTTCTTAATTTATGACGGATTTTCCTCAATTATAAGGAAGTTATAGAAATTTTTCTGTGGGATTACATCGAACGAATGAATGACTCTGGCTGTTTAACTAGACAATTCGAAGCCTTCTTTGAAACTTTTTGTGTTTTTTTCTTTATTAAATTCCTTTCTCCCTGAAGGAGATGCGGTTTATTTCAAGCTTAGTCAAGTAAAACAATAATCCTTAAGGGGTGTTATATCATCTAACTCAAACACAATACTTGTTTCAGAAAATTGTTGATCTGATTACACCGTTTTACAGGCATACATGAGTAAGAAATTACCTTTCATCAATTTCTATCACATTTTAATCAAAGAACAATCGAAAATGAGCTGCTCATTGAATTGTCCGGTGCCGTAAACCCGACAGGAAAAAAGATATGACAGTTTTATTATAGCTGTAGTTATTAATGTGATAGATTAACGCCTTCCAATCATATTTCCAAAACGTACTTAAATTGGTGAAATCGCTTCATAGTAAACCTCTACCTCACTTGCGCAGAAATTATTATTTCCTGTCCATAAATAATTGTAACAGTACGGACTAGTGTACGAGTGACAATAGAAATAAGAGTTATAGTTACTACTCGCATAGTCGGCAACGTAAATATCATGTCCCCCACCAAATGTCGGACCATAATTGTAGCTGCTGTATGTGGCGTAAGATGGATAGGTGTTAACATCGTTTTTGAAGTAACCGTATCCGTAGTAATTTTTGAGAGAAAAGATGAAAGCTCTTGTTGAATAGATGTATCCGTAGGACCCTGAAACAAAGCAAGTATTACACAGTTTTAGTTGAAAATAATCAGAAAATAGTCAGAAAGTAGTCAGAAATTTTCTTGCTTTCAATTTCTTCTTGCTTCGGAACTATCGCATCAAGTTATGAAAATAGGTATTTGTTGTTGTCTTTAACTAATCATCAGCTAAGATTTTTTTTCGGAATTTATGGGAGTTTAGCCTTCTCTTTGAATTCGATTCCGGATTTAAAATATCCGGAGGTGTGACCGAGAAGAGCGTTCTAGCTACATGGAGGTCCGCTGGTGTGCGGCAAAGTCCTAACCCTGAACGGCTCATAAATTCTGCTCAAGTGTAGACCTAGTCAAAAGGCAATGTTTTGTGTTATGTGTTGAGTAGTTTCGGTGAAGTTGTCGACTATGTATTTGTTGTTTACCAGACGTTACCTCTGGCAACACTAGTTCTGAATTAGCTGGGAATACAATACAAAGGTAGTTCAGAAACGTACATTTCCACGACTTATCGGTGTAACCACCAAATATGTAGCCATGAGCACGAATTATAGTCACAGTCGGTCCCAGGTCCTCACAACGGCCGTGAAATGTTTGTGTACTCCATCCATTATTAGAAGCTCTGTAGCACCGTTTCCAGTACCTTTTCGACACGCTCTGCAAGCGGGAATAAAGCCAGGAATTCAGCTGCGACATTTTACTTGTGTCTCCACCTATGATACTTGAGTCTTCCAGGCCTCCTGGGAGAAAACAAATTGATGGAAATGTCAATAGTGTTCGTATTTAAATTCACGAATCATACAGAAGAGTGGGTGTGCAGCTCGAGCTTGGAGCCTAAGTATTTAATGCCGTCCGACAAAGTTACAAAGAGTAGTAAACAACTAGTTATCACCTCTCGAGCTAAAACATTTTGTGTGCCGCCGCCTGATACGAAAACTCAAAAACGCAATGGGAAAAATGGGAACGTATTCCCCATCCAAATGCAGGTGCACCGACCTCCGCCTGGGGGTTAGAGGTAAAACAGCTTAATTACATGCAAGATAAATTGTTTATAAGCAATGGTTTCTTAAAACTTTTGACGATAAAAATCAGCGGTAAAACACGACGTTTCGACCGTGCTTCGGTCTTTGTCAATTGAATGGAATGAAATACAGTAAATATATGTATATCTACACGTAAGAAATATAAAAAATTTTTGCAGGTGTAAACAAACAATAAAAGTACAAGGAAAGTGCTGGTAAAAAGCTAATTAAAAACCTCAGCACGAATTGAATCAGACTGTACATTGAGAGCAGGTCTTAGCTTGTGAATAAAAAACATCTCATAGACGAGACAATAAGATTTGTTCGTGCTCTTCATTAAGGTGCTAAAGTTCTTTGTAAGATCCTTTGGAGTCAAAGAATGTTTATCGCGAAAATGTTTGCCAATTGACGAAGAGGAGTTTTTATGTTCTTCAATACGTTAGTGTAGATGACGGCGTGTGAAACCAACATAACCTACATCGCACAGGTCACATTGAAATTTATAAACAAGGCACTGTTGGTTCACAATCGGCGGCTTAGCTTCTCGCAATTTGAGGTCTCGACCAATCTTCTGGCTAACAAATACAGGTTGTAAGGTCGTCTGGATCCTATGACTTAGATCTTTAAGTTGGGCACGAACAATATCAGCGGATGCCTGATCCTTATACGGTAGGACAACGCGAATGAAATTTTACATAAATTTAGGAAAGTTCGAGAGTTGAGATGAAGACATTACAAATGTCAAACCTTAAATACACCATACAACCAAAGCCTCAATTAACGCCATAGCGGCCCACGTGCTAACATCCCAATAGAAAAATATTCACATTCTTTGCCACTACCACTTGCACTTTAGTTCCGCCGAATGTAAATACATTTCACACTGTGTTAACGTTTGGGAGATATAGCGGTAATGACTGAGGAATGACTAAAATCTTAGTTTATATGTAAGGAAATATGTCTTTTCCTCGTCATGAACTGAAAATAATCTCAACTGAGTTCTCGGATATTTGTTTGTGGACATAATCTGTCCCGACATGCAAACAGTTCCCCTAAGAACACTTTCATATTCCAGGTGCACGTAATCTCTGGCTTCAAATATGCCCAGATATTTCTCAAACCAAATGGAGGCTGATATTTGTTTGTGGACATAATCTGTCCCGACATGCAAACAGTTCCCCTAAGAACACTTTCATATTCCAGGTACACGTAATCTCTGGCTTCAAATATGCCCAGATATTTCTCAAACCTAATGGAGGCTGTTAGGCTTATTATTTACCAAGAGTGGAGAACAGTGGACGTATATGTATAAACTCAGGTTTCTAGAGTAGAGCTCGGAGGTGCGCTTTCTCAGCGTATGTTTTCATCACCTTGAAATGTCATCATGTCATCATAATGAACGTCAATACGAATAAACTGCAAGATTTTAGCAAGAATGAATAGCCCAATTCCGAGTTGCCGCATGTTTAGAGTCTGGTTCCGAACTTACTCCACGAGAGCGAGGCTAAGTGCATAAAAGTCTGACATGGACGCTACTGATACTCGTTTAGACAATGCAGCAGGCGAAGATTTCTCGAAATACAAGGTTGATGGTTTGAAAAAATACTTAAAAGAGCGTGGAATTCAATTGAGTGCTGGAGGTAAAGGGAAAAGGAAGGTAGACTACAACAAGCTGCTCGAAGAGAAATTACAGAAGGAAGACCTTAACGGCTTGGACCAACAACTTTTCAGATATCCCGGAGTTTACGTTCGGAAATTTGTGCAGCTATCTTGTGGGAAGAGAGGAATACTCTGAGGAATACCTTCGTTCTTTTAAAAGTCTCTTGGGCTATAAAAATTTTTGGCACAGCGACTCAATAACTTCACATTCCCCATTTAATGTTCTTTTGTAAGATTCCGGTAAAAAAGTGTGCACCGCAAATCCTCAAGTTGTTAGGCTCTTCTGCCTTTGCTTTCTTAGCTTCAAGTGCAAACCTTTTGTCAGCTCTACGGCAGAATTTTAACCATTTATGAAGTCTCGCATCCGACGGAAGAGCAAAATACCAAAGATCTCGACAATTATGATTCCCATTTGTGCAGCAAGCAACGGAACCATAAACCATCTTATAAAAAAAGCAATTAAGCGAGCATGGAATCTTCCTCATGAACTTTAATTTTTCGCGCCATCAAGCAGCACTTCGCACTTAGCCTCGCACTTAGCCTCGCTCTCGTTTCACCATTTCGGCCCTAGGGCTCTGTCATGCGGGAACTCGGAAATGGGCTATTATGGATGCTATTCTACAACAGTTGGAAAGTGCCTATGTCTACTCATTCCCGGTGATACGCAGCGTGATATTAAAATCAAGTTACCAGTACTAACGTGCAGTGAATCGAGACAGGAGGCCGTTTTCGAAGGTTCCGGTTACCTAACAGGCTTGAAAAGCAGTTATGCTCTAATTCAAGGTAGGGGTCTCAACCGTTTTAAAAATCAGGCAATTAAACGATTAGTTAAAAAAAATGGATTCGTTAGGGTGCCACAACAAACTTCTCTATTTTTCAAATTTTGTTCTAAAACATGGCTTCCTTACCGGAACTTTCGAGAAACGGGCTCTAGGGCTCGAAACCTAGACCAAGAGACTATCGTTCATCCCATAAAGCAATAACGGAACAACTACTGAAGTCGAAACTCACGGTTAGCATAGCACGTTTTTCCATTGCCATGGTAGTGAGAGTTATGGTCACACTCGCAAGTAAATGATCCTGGCGTGTTTGTACATTTTGCGTTGGCATCACAGTCATGACTGTTGAGCGTACATTCATCGACATCTAAATGATGGGAAAAAAGAACGCACCCTGAGGTTTAAGTTTACGCTAGTCAAATAAATTACTTCTTTTGTATCTTTCTTTAGGATTTCACAAGATGAGAGAGCAACGCAGACACGTCTGTTAGACACAATTCTTCCAAAGAAACATCTTACCCTTCTTAATGCATGCATTGCAGTTTAAAAGATGTCTTAATTCAAGTGAAATATGAGTAGCAGTCTTCAACATATACATTATCTTCTGCTAAGTACTTGGTGCTTTTTTCCGACTGTTTTTGCCTCATCAGCTTTCCTCCGCTTTGATCTTTGCACCAGCAAAATAGTCTGGCACACCCAAATGATGACGTGAGATTTTTGAGAAAACATTTCAATAGAAATACTGAAATCAGATAACTTTATAGCCAAGTATTGATTAGTATATACGAAGCCATTTTTCGAAAACAGTTGCAGACACGAAAGGAATCCTCTAGGCTTTGAAGAGTGCAAATGACGTACTTCACTCCGAAAGTAGGATGAAAGTTCAGTGTCAATGCCTATTAAATGTACCTCTACAAGTCATTCCATCTCCAGTGTAACCGTTTATGCAACTACAGGTATACGATCCATCCGTGTTCTGACACGTTGCACTGCTATCACACCCATGACTTAGAGAACATTCATCTATATCTGCAACAGGAGCAAGACAAGACGTGAGGGACACCAACATGCCCAAAGTGTTCCTTTTGCGCGGAAAGCTACAGGCTGCTAAACCCTTCCGTCTTTTAATACAATAAGTATAATAGATTTATAAGGATTTTGACAAGTCTAATTGGTCTTATAGCAATAAGGCAGTTTATTACACGACTCTGGCAGTCAGAGGGCCAATAACTAAAATCAACCAATCAAAATGCTCTATTGCTGGTCAATATTCTCTCAGTATTGGACCGGGCGCTGTCCCGAATGGTCCCGAATGAGATCGCACTTGTGTCCCTTTGAACTTCAGTCGTATAATAAATCTTTTATTAACCAAGCTTGCTCGGGACTGTACTGGAAGAATATCGGCCCTCGGTCCTTTTTGTGTGGACCTCGCTGCACTCGGTCCGTATTGTCAAGACCTCGGGCCAATATTCTTCCAGTACGGGCCTCGCACTTGGTTAATAAGATATATAAACAGATCGGATAATCAGTCAGGCCATTAATTCCTCCGTCTATCAGTCAGTTACTCAGCAGTTGGTCGATTGGTATTTCTATCGATCGATATATCATACAGTCAATTAATCAGTCAGTTAGCCAACCAATCAGTCAATCAATCTATCAATTAATCAATCATCAATCCATCCTTTATCAATACGTCAGATAGCACAACTTTTATGATTTGACATATTATGGAGGGTTCTGAAATTTTGCCATGAACTGCTGGCAAATAAACTTGGAACAAATATTGTAGTATTTACACTAAAATAATTTTCTGAAACTGACAACTTTAAGGGAGGGGGGGGGCAGATCCCTTGAGCATTACCTGCACAACTTCGACCATCGCCGCTATACCCACTGGCACAATGGCATTTATAAGACCCGTGTGTGTTCGTGCAGATACCATTCTGGCTACAGTCATGATTATTTCCTACGCATTCATCAAGGTCTTGAGATGAAAAGGTGATAAAAAAATTAAAAAAAGCAAATTAGCAAAGAACAAGTTAAAAAACAGTACTAGAACTAAAAGCTGTTTCGGAAGGGGGGATGAAAGGCACGGAAGGACGAAGGGAGGAAGGAACGAAAGGAGGAAGGAACGAAAGGAGGAAGGAACGAAAGGAGGAAGGAAGAAAAGGAAAAAGGAGGGAGGAACAAAAGGAGGAAGGAAGGAATAAAGAAACGTCAAGAGGGATGGGGAAGGTTTTTGAGTGTCCCTTTGTTTGTTTTCCATAACCCTTCTTTACTGGTATTATTGCAACATTCCATGCTTTTTCTCAAGCAAACAGGCAGTGCGAACTTTGACTCGAACAAGAAAATATCTTAAGCTGATACAGTACTCATTAGCATTCATCACCTTCAAGCATTTGACTGACATGGACCTACCTTCTGAACATGTGAAGTTATGACAGCTTGCGCAGCTTACATCATTCCATTCAAAACTATGTCTGACTCCTATGGTGTGAACGCAGTCCTCATTCAGTGTGAAATCGTTAGGTTGATGTGGAGCCCAATAAGTGAAGTTGATGGACTGATTACCAGCCCAAACAAAAGTGCCCTCGGTGTCTCTGTCATTCAGACCGATCCAACCTTTGTCTCCGTTAAGACGGTGCTGAATGTACACATTCTCTTCTTGAGTTTTAACGGAAACCAGATTGGCATTGTCCCTTTGGCAGGTCTTTTGAGAATCAGTCCAGTTCTTGCATGACTGACTTGTGAAGTAGCAAACACCAGAGAAGTATGACCAGCCAGGCTTACACACGTCTTTACCGAACAACACATCATACAAAAAAAGAAGAAAAAGAGAAATCCTCACTATTCCTGTTCGCTAATTATGTGTAAACCAAAACTTTGTGACCGCTCTAGAAAATAATTTTGTTTTTGATGTGTACAAGCACTCACCCGCTAGAACAACATAGGACACGGTGACGGGATCATGCTGATCGGCAAACAACTCGTTGAGACAAATACGAAAGTCTGATTTCTTTATATGCTGAAAATTGAGTCGAGAAAGGCTGATGTGAGTATCAGTGAACAACATGAAATGGCATAAACATAAACACTAGGGCAATAATGATGCTGAAACAATGATCTTTCTTCAGTTATCTGCATTATGCACATTAGAAAATAATGCCCGATAATATAGAAATAAATAAATAAATACGTAAATTGAAGCTCCCCCTTAGGGGGCTTTCAGCCACAATGTAAACTAAATAAGTGCTGAAAAATCCCCACTGACATGAGGCAGACCAGTGGGCTATTTACAGAGCGCAGCCAAAGAGTTGAACTAGGGGTAACCGAGAACAAATCCAGTGAATGGCAGAGTGGAGGCCTTGAACCCGGGACACCGGATTACAAGTCCAGCACCCTAACCACTCGGCCACGCCACCTCCACTAAGAAAGTTTTCCACCAAACAACTGAAACAAATAATTCAAATTGAAAATAAAATTATTAAGAATCCCAACTGGCCGAAGGCAAACCAGTTGGTCATCTACAAGCATGGCCGAGGATTTGAACTCTGAGCTACCGTGAAACAAATCCAGGTAGTGGTCAGGGCGGGAGCGGCGGATTGCGAGTCCGATACGCTGACCACTCAGCCACACCGCCTTCTTCCCCCAGTAATAAAAAAGTAAAGCATATAGACATAAGGACACCTCTATCCAAGTAGCAACAGACATGTAGGTTGGCTTTAAGTTGTTTCCATCTGACTCGTGATTCGGTGTAACTATTATCGTAGGTTCTTTTTCCTATGACTTTGAAAACTGCACGTCCTGCAAAAGAAAGAGGTAAAAAAGTTGCAGCCACAAAACAGCAAAGGCAATTACAAACTTCGAGCTGTGTCAGCTGAAAACGTTTTTCACAAGCTACTGTGCATTCTGGGTATTTACAATCGCAATGTTCATTCGCCACCTACCTTGCAGAATGCACCATTGTAGTTCTTAGAAACCGAGCTGTTGTTGGGGAACTCGATTTTTTTACTTTCGGTAAATAGCGGACGATGAATTGCTTCGAAAGCCATCCAGCTCTTAAAATAAAAGTTCAAATAAACAGTTCAAATGATGTTTATGTGCCATTGACTCAGAGGCATGCATCAGAAATTTGGGTTGAAAGATACATAAAAGGGTTTACTCCGTTTCCTCAACCCGGAGGCCTTTGAAAATACCAGAAATGCGAAGAGGTACTCCATATAGGAAAGATTTTCAAGCGTAAACAATAGTGACMYWAA